GTAAGGTGACCCGCCTGATGGCAACACGCGATGGCCGATGTGGCATGAGAGTATTGTTAGTTGTGTAGGTCATGGTTGTACGAGGGCTGGGATACTGCCAGGGCGCCCACACCTAGACAGGAGGACGATTAGGGTCCTCAACCAAAGCCTTTGGCTCAAAAGCCTAACCGCAAGGCAGCGGTGTTTGGCGGGGAAATGCAAATGCATTACCTTTTCTACGGAACAAGTCGCCATACATGTTCCAACCCCCAACCTGGAGGACCAGGAGACTGTGTTCGTCAGAACTCTAACCATTGACCAACCTGGTATGATAGACTCTGTGAGTGTCGCGCGGACACCCCCAGTATAGCTCAATGGGTCTCCGAGGTACACAAACCGCCACACCACGGTAAGGTTCAGTCTCTTCGTGACGGCACAAAAGCACACATTCTGATCGCCCGCAGTCAGGGTATTAACTCACACAGTCAAAACACCTAGAGAAGCTATGAGCGACTTGAAAAATCGCCTACTGTGTTGCGGCAGAATCAGCACTGTGGCAGACGTATCATATGTTTGACGTCCCAAGACTAATCTAGTCCACATTGTAAAGTAGGTCATCACGGACTAACAGGTCAACTGAGAAGAGCTCTAGAACCAGCTCTCAGATCAGGGTACTGAAAGCTTCAAATGAATCATTTCTAACCAGTCCAGGTCCACCGGCAGGAAACCTGTAAAGGCCCAACGTTTACAACCACGATTAAACACGAAAGCTTAAACTGGGAACCTGGAACTTTACAACCATACTGAATGAGAGGGAAATGGTTGATAGCACTGGTCGCCCAGGCTCTCAAACGGTGTGGTTCTACATTGGGATGTTGAACGGGACAAGACTGGCAGGGGGGAATTCTTCCTTCTTTTCTGTCATGTACAGGAAATTTAACCAGAGTCGAAGGGAGAAATTAGTTGGATTCACAGTATCCACAATCTTCTGTCAGCCAAACTGTACAAACCCAAAACTGATGACCTTCAAAACTTAACTCTGATGCGTTTGTGAGCGCGCCTAAACTATCTCATTCTGAAGATGAAAAAAGCGAGTTTTACAGTCAATTGTCAAAAGTCATCGGTTATCCCTCCCTAATGAGAGTTTAATGCTCGAGTTGATCAGGATTCAGAAATCTTAGGCTTTTTGTAATTGGATCGATGAACTAAATTAGCCAACGTCTTTTGTTTAGGAGTATAGCTTTGGGGTCTTCCATTACTAACATATGGAAATCCTTGGCAGCCACATGAACTCGCCTGAAAATTTGGTACCAACATACTGGTTGCTATACGACTGCCCGACAGGGCACTCTCAGAACATCCTGTTTATCAAGATGATGCTTGTTATTAATTCAACGTAGACTTTTCTTTTGTACGAGAGTAGCAGACCGCACCGTCGTTGAACAGGAAAAGTCTATGAAACTGTCAGAAAATTCAACTACTTGACAAACACGATGAAACTTTACGAGACGCTTTTATATCTGAATACCGCCTCGCTCCAGTGTCTAGTGCCGGAAAAAGGCCCGCTAAGTGGGGACACGACAACTTCAATGTGTGTGAATGCGAAAAGTACAACGGCTCTGCGCTGCGTATTCGACACTGTCTGACTTTGATCCAAGGCTATCTCGCGCTATCTTTTGGAAGGCGCTGTCTGACCTCGATCCACGTCTGTCTGATCCTCGTTTAGTGGAGTTTGCGGGTCTCAGTAGGTTTCAGGTATTCTGGGACAATCTTCAGGAATCTGACCTTTCTAACAGATGCTATCAAAAAAACTCGGAATCAACTCTTTGGAGGTCAGTGTGGAGTGTAATACAAACACATGCGTGAAGTTCATTGGCGGAAATCGGACTGGCGTTGCGTTAGCATTGATTTGGTGAAGAAGACACCGTAATTTTGCCCACCCCTGAGCAAAAGAACGTGGCTTTCCTCAGAGTACTGAAAAATTCTTCAAACTTATCCACCCAAAACTTTGGAACCACAGGAAGGAATTTCACGGGACGCTCGCGTGAGCTGAGGAGTAAATGGTGGAGAAAAAAGTAGTGAAGAATTTTGACCATACGCTGACTGTCGTTCTCATAAGTATTTTTTGAAGAATTTAAAATGGTTCTCTGAGTTTTTTCCTTGCATCCGGTCCGCTCAAGAGCTTACAAAATCTGAAAATAACTTGACCGTGCGGAATGTTCAAGTGCTCGTAAGGATCGAACCAGATTAAGTAAATTGAGTGTTAAAACACCAGAGAGGGACCCAAAGGAAGATACTTCAACTTTCGAATAACACAAACAGCGATATCGCAAAACAAGCCAGGGAAGCCTCTTGGGAGTATCGCGAAGAACTTGTGGACGAGTACAACAGTATAAACGAAATCTCAACTTGGGAAGCTGAAGATATTCTGGTTGATCAGCTGAACGTAGACATTTCAAATGAAGCTGTTCCCGACCGGCTTAAATTCCGAAGCGGACAGAGCCCCAGTGATGTAATTCTCATTGAGGCATGTGCGAGAAAAATGTCGCGAACGTAACCAGATGTTATAGGTCTTATTAGTCAACTTCCCAAGGGCGTTTTATTCAGGAAAGAGATAAGCAGTTGGGATTGTTCTCTGGAAGATGGGCTGCCCAAATAAATGTGTGCATCTCCTTTCCTTTCGCTTTAGATGAAGGCCAGTGCTCGAACTTGCGGAACTGCGTCTGTAGATTTCAGCCATGATGCGGGGCGAAAGAAGGCTGCATAGTAGTCACAACTTCGTTCAGCTTGTATGCAGCTGAAAGACTCCCTGAGGTAGTATAGCTATTTACTATAGTCCGAATGACCACCTCGTCAGTTCAAAGCGCTTTCTAGCCAAACATGACTTAGAGATTCATTTGGTATTCTTTGCTGACAGTGGTTTTGTTGGCGCACTCCAAAGTGGTACTTTCGGGTCTGGTTTCAACAACTGTTCGCACAGAATCTCATTGTAGCTCCGTTGTAAACTTCTCTATTACGTTTACCTCGCATCAAAAGCGTCCATACTTGGGGACAAACAGAACTTACGAATGGTCTGCGTGGCCAAGACTGAAACTCCGATATTCGTGCAGATTTCTGGTGGGTTTATCTATCACTTGTTCTGATTTCGGCCCACGAGAAAACCTGACGCTGGGCGGATGTGAAAGGTCATAAGCGCCAGCTGGCGTCGTTCGGGGATCGGTGTGTCTTGGTGCTAGAACACGAACAACCCATCCGTAAGGGATTCTCGGCGACAACCGTAGGCTCATGGAACTGCTCAGTCTTTGGGCACATCTGCTTGAGCAAGGACATGCGGGATACCAGAAGTCCCATGCTTTTTCAGCCACGAAATGGCAACATTTAAGTAGAGGTAGGTTCGGCCGACTTACTGACATTAAATTGAAGACCTATCTCAACGTTTACCGTCCGTCGATGCATGAGAATAAGTTTGACCTAGGCCGACGCAGATGAATGTTATTATGTGGTATTTTGAGGCTGGGTTACTGCACTATACTTTACGTAAGAGAGTTGACAGATCACACAGGTCTCTCCCTGTGTACTGCGGTCCCAGTGTTCATTGTAACACCATCGTTCTTAATCCATAACTATGCGCGGGTGTTCAGTGGCCCAGCCACTCTTGACAGGCAAATCCCTATCTCATACGTATCTCTCATGAGTCGGATCGTATACTAAACCAACAGGTTGCATTGCATGACGGTATTTTGAGCCGGGTTACAGCACTATACTGTACGTAAGAGAGTTGACAGATCACACAGGTCTCTCCTTGTGTACTGTGGTCCCAGTGTTCATTGTAACACCATCGTTCTTAATCCATAACTATGCGCGGGTGTTCAGTGGCCCAGCCACTCTTGACAGGCAAATCCCTATCTCATACGTATCTCTCATGAGTCGGATCGTATACTAAACCAACAGGTTGCATTGCATGACATCAAGAACAACTTACCTTTGGTTTGATTTTTGATACTTTTATCGTGAAGTATATTGAAGCTGTTGCTTGTGGAATGGGTGCGCGCCTAGTCGGAACACTCCATCGGACGCGGTATCGATATAGTACGTCATAAGGTGTATCCTCTTCGGACAATATATCCGTACAGTGTAGCCAACTTTCATCCAGTTGCCAGCCCTGGAGCAGAAAATAAGTCCATCAAACTCTGAAGCATCTTGGTAGAAATATCCGGCAGAAGAATTAAAAACACGATTTGGTGTCAGGCCAATCTTCGCAGACCGCCAAAGGGCGAAGTTTCGCCGCTGATGAAACAGTAGTGGCAAAATACGAAATACAGCGGATATAAAAGTACCTTATTCGCTGAATTAAGCGCATTTAGGGTCGGACTCGAACAGCTTACCATTCAAGACTTCACTCAGCGTGTTACATGAACAGTGTGAGTTTCCAGCATCCTTACTGTTAGTGTTAGGTCCGAGTAGGTTGGTCAGAACTGCTGGCTTGGCCTGTAGTGTGGTGGGATCAAAGCACTACTAATAAGAAAATCCAAATTACTCGTGATAATTGGATGGTCATTCAGTCTACGAGGAAATCATTACAAATGTAATGAATAATACACTTCAACTGGCATCCGCGCTATCCACTTGCCTCAACGAAAACGTTTCACCTTGGAGATTTCTAGCTTTCGATCTTTACAGGTTGCATGGTAACCCAAGCGGATGCAGCAACGGGCACTGACGAAATCATCCGTACTTGTTAAAATTCAATAAATGTTACGAAAAAAGCAGCAAAGAATCAGGAATGGAAAATTTCACCCATATCTCTAGTCTTAACAAGAATATAGCCTTTAAACTACAAACATTCCAATGGGTTCTATAAATGCATGGGAGCGACCCGATCTTTTACGCTTTACTGCGCCACTGGTAATGTTGATGACGACCGACAAAGCAACCAAAGTGACCGCAGTTCTGTTTGGACTTCCGATTCCGTGAAGAATTAGGACTACTCATCGACCACAGCGTCTCAGAGCCTTTGTACAATTGCTGTGATTTGTCGTAAGCTAATTTATGAGGTAGGGCCTGTATGTTCCATAAGCTGACTGGTATGTGAAGTATTGCGCAAACGTGAACTGAGTGGGGAGTTCTGAAATGCGATTTATAAACCTGGTGTTTAATTGATAATTTGGTACGATCAGCAGGTATCGTCAGCCTGCATAGAAATAGGAAATGCCATGTTCACAAAACTCAGGTCTATGTGTTCACGAATTTACACGGGAAAATGGATAGAAAAGTGAAGCGAAAGTAATGGATCGGGGAAAGTGACACACACGCAACCTATAGGTACTCGAAATTAAGGAGACTTTCGAATGGAACTCATAAACTCCTCTTGAGACACCGGAGAAAAATTTTGTACCACGAGGACCAACCTCGTGAGACTGCGTTGTGCTTGTAGCTGGAATGGATTCAGTATCTACTGATTTGTTTGCCGAGAATGATACTAGGTTTGCGGACGTCTCGCCACAATTCAAGGAGCTATCATCAGCTCGCTGATAAATGTGAAAGATTAGTGTAAGGTCGTGTAACTCTGCTCTCACGATATGAGCTATGTCAGTCTTGATGTGTCGAACTGGCGTCTAGTCAGTAGGTAGCTGTGAATCACTGTCCTCCTGACTTTCATAGCATGAGTTACTATTCAAATTTCTCTGACTAAAAATAGTACATTAACTACACTGGAATATATGCAGTGTGTTATTATTAACTCATCTCTTCAGTTAGCTGAGTTTTCCCCTCCTTCACCATGTTTATTTTCGCTACAGTTATGAAACGAGAAACTTGTGCGGCCAGCAGCAATAATAAATACACGGCTATATGTATGTAGTTGCAAGGTACTTCGTGGGAGCATCTAGACGCATCTTCACCGAGGCTATTGTCCGCAGATGACACCAACATTACGAAAATTTAATTTTCCATTCATGAGAATCTCTCTGAATGCACGAGCCGTTGCGAGTTAAAAGACTGGGGATGGATTCATAGGAAATATATGGTGCTTGCAATGGGAAGGCTCTCAAAAACAAATCAGATTCATTTGAGAAGTGATTCTTACTCTGAGATGATATGTAAGCCAATGGAAATGTTCCAAACAAGGTCATTAATTACTCGTACATGCAAACGAAAATAGCTCACTTATCCGGTAAGTTTTCTTAATAACGAAGAAACCGAGCTACAACGTTTGGGATCTCACCTCGATATATTTTTCTAAATAGAAACCGAACTACAAAGTTTGGGATCTCACCTGGATATATTCTTCGATTCGTTTCAGTCCTAATTCCGGGTTGAACTCTCCTATGGTTGGCCATTTGATGTTCGGAGTGAGGTTCGGTTCGGTGTCCAGTACAATCGGATGTTTTCCTGTTTTCTCACAGTTGACAACGGAAGATTCGTCATTCACGAAAGGGCTTTTCAGCCCGCCGTGTTCTGGTGTCTCGACTAGCTCCACAGGCTTTTTTGACTTTGGCAGGAATTCATCATTGTCAGAAACTCTGATCGGCTTGCTATATATCAATAAAATAGTACTGATAGGTCAAATAACGATACCCAGTAATGAGAAGGAGTGAGGCGGGAAATTATACGTTAAGTCTGAGAAGACTACCCCCAATAAAGTGCATCCTCAAAAGAGATCACTGTTGGTTTGTCTTTCAAGTGGTCGCTATCGACAAGAACGGTCGTTTCACCAACAATGATCATAATAATGGAAGGATTTCGTAGGTTTCAACTTGGTCCCTGGTTTTCGTCGGCGAATTTGGTTGCCGGTCTGCATGCGCTTGCTGTTCCACGAGGACTACGGAGTGCGGAACTTATTTAAAATAATTTGGCCATTTTTGAAGTCGACTTTCTACGCACACCTATAAATGTTTGCTAGAACTGCGGTTATTACCAGACTCAGAAAAAGAAAAGGCATTTGAACTCAGTAAAGTAAACTGGAATTTCTGGACGTTCAAACAGATCAAAGCGATTGCGAACGATGAATCCTTTAGACTATACTACGGTTGACCGGAATGGGAGATTATTGTTAGAACCAAATAGAAGATGATTAATTGCTGATATGCTTAGAGCTACTAAATACTACTAAATAAATAGGTAAAAATAAAGTTCCCGGAAAGCGTTCAGTGAATTGTCAAAGATTTTTCATAGTCCAATCACCTCCAGTTGACGACACTGATACCATTAGACCAACTCATATACACTGCAGTGTTGCGTAGTTAGAAATTCATTGTAGTCGCAGTCATCAGGGATAAAACTATTCTTAATGATGTTGCATACCTCTGATAATCTGGACATTCGGCTGACGTAAATGGTTTTAGGACCTAATGAACTCGTTCACGAGGTACATAAGAATTAATTTTCTGAACAGTTTGGGCAGTTCTTATGAAAAGATTTTTCGCGATGCCTGTAAAGTTATTCCTCATAAATCTGGTCCAGTTCAACTGCATTTTGTTATTTTACCGCAAATCGACTAGAATGATGAGTCGTCATCATCCCATCGTCCATCGTCATGGGACATGACGATGATCAGACATACATTCATGCGCTATGTGCTACCTAAATCGTGACGCTTGTCTCCAAATATCCGGTTATTTTGACATAAACTCCATTGACTTGTCTATTAAGGAGGTTCAAAAACTTCGTTGTTCGCCACCTAACGGAAGATAGTTTCTGATCCTTTGCTGTTCACTCGGAGCAGCATGTATCCCACTCTTCGACTGAGTGGATTTTAAGTTCTTCTCGCACCTAAAGATGGTACCTATGCATCCTTAACCGGTGTTCCAGGTGAACAGATTTAAAATTCTATATGGTAGAAAAAACAACCAGAGGCAACTGACTCCCAGCAACTCACACTTTAGATTCTTTTGAAAGGTCATATTCGTAAACACGATGCAAAGCGGTTTGTATAACGGATGCCACAAATCCCCGTACACCTTCCGGAACATCTTCTCGCGGACCTTGTCTGCAATCAAACAAGACAAACGTCGGCTGATTTCTGCTTTCACTTTTCGAACTGAATTAAAAACATTCTTATATTTCATGTTAGACCGTATTACAGCCGCACTGGGTATACAATAGGATATTTTCCTGCATTATGCCACCTATTCCTGCATCAAATTCTGGTGATATTTTATGAAGGTGCGCAATACAACCAATGTCCCCACGACTTTCAAAACCTAAATAACCAGAGAGTAGTGGTGCCCCCAACTAGGAAAAACACAAGGCTTCTGAAATAGACTTCTCGTCAAGACAAATTGTAGTGCCGGTGTGGCTGCTGGTCAATAATTTTATGAGATCGAATGACTGAGTGCTGTTTCAAGTGAGGTTTTTTCAGGTCACATTAGGAGACTGTTCTCCCCAGTCTCCATGCGCACAGCATATTCCGTCAAAAACACTCTGCCTTAGTTTTATTATAGAGGCGTACCAACTCTATACTTGCTCAGGCCGCATCGAAGCATACTTCGAATCCGTTTTCGTGGAAGATTTTCAACTGTAAACTCATCAAAAATGGGATAACAAAGATCATCCGGTCAACCATGGCAGTGAAATATTGGAACAGCTTTCCAGTTTCGGTCTCATCTTGCAACTCAGTGCAAACATACTTTGCTGTCACCTAATACATAAAGGAAATCATCGGTTCTGTGTATCCCCGTAATATCGGGGGAGTTACAAACAAGCAGCTTCCCCACTAGAAATTGGACGTTACCATACGGCAACGGCTGTCTAGTGAGCAATGTGATTTACTTTTAATCAAAAAAATATACAATGAAGATACATAGTGTGTGAATCTCAACCTCTACTTCTGTGAAGAAGCTAACGTGCAAACAGTTATGAAGCAAAAAATCCTGCTTTGTCAAAATGCCATCATAACGTAAGAAGACGAAACTTGGGTCGACAATACATCCATCAGTAACCTGAAGCGCAAAAGACTGCGGTAGTGTTTCATTCAGTCATCCCCTATATCTAAATCTGCGTCCACAATAGCACGTTACTTAAAACACAGTTAGCTGGTGTGCAAAAAGAATGAAAGAGGTACCACTTTACCCAAATTTCCTAAATGGATACTGAACAGGAAACTATCGTGGTCTTCAGAACTTACGGATTTCGAGGAGGCCGTAACAACCGTTACTGTATCAGAGAGCTGATTTGTGTCGGATTAGAACAAGCTCCTTGAAATTAGTGCCCAAGATTCTGATCGAAAACTAGCCAACCTTTCTTGAATTTCTTCATCAGATTGTAGATAAAACCAACAAAAAATTCCAGTAGGTTTTCGATAGCAATCAGAAATAATCCACAGACGGAACCAAGTGAAGCTAACAGATCCATGGAAAGGAATAAATTTCCACATTTGTCCTGGTTTATCACAGGCAGCAGTTATTTGCACGCAGGTCAGATGTTCATTTTCTTCAATGAATGAGTAGGATTAGGGTAAAAAAAAACAGTACAGTGAGGTTGACAGAGTTGCTGATTTTAAGGAATCGGTCAGTCTACAAGTTAGTCAAACCTCTGTGGACTTTTCGCAAGCACAGCATTCCGCAGATTCCCTCGTATGGTTATCACGAATTTTGGTGGTGAGGTGAAAGACCCCAAACAACAACGGAAATTCAATCAGTGTTACGGAGACTCGATTTTCCGATCTAAGCTAATCTCGCAAAACTATCCGATGAGATTCTGTCTACAGCACAATTCAAATCGACGGCCTGTTGTTTCAACTAATCCTTCCAGGATCAAGCTGAAGAGCCTGTTTACGTGACCACTAAAGAAGGGAACTTTTAAGCGTCAGCTGCTTCAGATTATGGATGTTGACAACGTTATGGAATGAGCTAGCGGCCGCCAGCAGAATTTTTCCACTACAACTGATATCAGATTTCTTTACTGAACAGTAGTCCATTCTAAAGGCAGATTGGTACTCTGTTTCATTTTGCAATGCACACAAATTGCCCGGACCCTATAAGACTAAGGGTAATTGTGACGAAATTCCATACAGGAGTTACTTTGGGGTGAACACTTTCTGTGCATGCTTGTTACAGTGAGCACTTTTTTGAAACGGAAGAGTTTATTCTTACTGAGTTTCCAGCTCAGAAGGTTCAGTAACCTGAGTCTTGTTCTGTCTTACTGCAAGACTGTGAAATATCCAGTTTTATCTCCTGATATGAAGTAGCTGACACAGTTATGTGTTTATTTAGACTCGTGCTTTCTATCCTCGAATGTCGATGCATAAATCATACTGTGAAACATGTTTCACCAAAGCTGAATTAAATACCTCAGTACCATGCTTTTTACCAATGTACACAGCAAAGTGCTGCAAGAAAACTTTCACTAAAAATCTATCCTGAGAAGCAAATTTGCAGGGTTTGCTGGTAGTGTGAACTGTATTTTTCTCGCGCCTGTTTTTCAACGAAACAGAAGTCCGTTTGATTTTGGCACGCCAAAATTGTGTCTCAGAGCAACGCACACTTTTGTCGAGAAGTCAATTATTGTGATATTTCAAACTGATCAATTCTCATGCAATTAATTCGCAGTTGCTCTGAAAGAGTGCTCTTTGAAATCCTAGTTGTGATAGACAGTCAGGCGAACCTGCTGTTCTCTTCGTGGTCATTATGAAACAAGTACAGACACGATCGGTAGCTCAGCTTTCTGTTAGGGCTTCTTCGAAGATTAGTTCGAAGAACCATAAGAGTTAGGGAGCGTGAAGTGAACTTGCGACCAGAATGTCTTCCATCCTGCTTTCACATTCTCGTCAGGTTGACACGTACGATTTCGCCCACGGCCCCCACAGCGAATTATCGCCAGTCTTCCTCAGTAAGATGTTACTTAGCAATAGATCAGTATCAAGCATATGAACATTTTGTTTGACGGCTACCATCGGTTTCTTCGATCGGAATTTCCTTGGCCCGGGACCCGTCAATCTGTGTGAAACACTCACCGTTTGAGTTCACAGTAGTGAGGATCTTCTTTCAAAAGTGGATCAGCAAAATCAATGATCATTCGATTTGGATCTACATCAGAAACCTGCTTCAAAGCTTCGTCTCCAACGGTCTCTACGAACGGTCGAATCATGTTGGCTCGAGGACCTTCAGATTCCGGAACTCCATCTTGACTCCTCGCCTGAAAGAGAAAAGGTACAAATTCTCATCAAGGGTCAAAGGAAAGAACGCGAGTGACCAGGCGCACTTGGGAAGACACTTGTATTTTAGTAAAACTGACGTAATTAGCGGAAAACACAGATGAAGGCAGAAAACAGGAAAACTAATCGATCTGAAATAAGGTCAAATATGAAAACAATAAGAATTGAAGTTCGGGTAAGAAAGAATCAGAAAGAAGTCATGGAAGTATGTCCTGAGAGAGGTTGTCCGAATCTTCGTCTACTTCAAACAGTTCTCTCGTATCATTCCGGTTCCTTGGCCTTATTTGAAGCTGTTCTCTTCTCCACCTTTTTGCCAGGTGACCCGCGGTTCTCATCCGGCCGAGTGCTCTGTAAAATTACGTGAAAAAGTGACAAGTAGCTCACTGTATGGAAGTTAGTGCCGTCAGTAGCAACCGAAAACCGGAAACCCACTTGTGGTCGGTCAGAAGGATATTGCGCATAACAGCTTGAGAAAATACGTTATATGGACAATAAATAAGGAGTGGTGTTATATTTTTTACATGCTTCAAGGGTTTCCGATGAGTTGGGCACATTTGGGAGTGCTCCGTGAGGCTTGACTAGGTACGCACATGCATATTTTTGGAGAACCAGCGCACACAGTCCTCAGATCTTACTAATAAAAATTAACTAATAGCACCGATTTAGTATGTACTCCATGAAAATAAACTTAAAGTTCTGACCTGAATGGACCTTGCATTGGCATAAAATAGGCACACAGGGCCCTGGTGTCAATAGCTTAATTTGCGGCGTGTTGTGTCCACACGTTTCACAGGTCATTTCCAAGTGAATTCATACCAGGGTAACGTCAGGCAAAATAGTTTTTTTGTCATCAGAAATACAATTATCTCTTATTGGGTTGGCCCATAGCATGAATGCTGATAGATACTAATGAGTTTATAGTAGAACGGTCAGTTTTATTTTGTGATCCTCCTCAGATGAGTTTCTTGGAAAACGCATGGTTCAGTCTTAGTGTCAGGTGATCAAAATCTTCTTTCTGGCACACTTTGCTTAACTCACTTGCTTTTCATCACATTACAATCCTTTATATGTAGTGAAGTCATGTAGTCTTATGCTTTGGTCCAGCTGTCTTGTCCTTGGTAAAACACTTCAGGCTACCGAGATTACCGAAATTTTACATATATTGGCCAAATAACATCGGGTTAGGAACTGACCGTAAGTACGGCAAAAGTGTGGATGCTGAATTCGTACATCATTCGCAAGACAACTGCAAGCAAACTTACGTTTCCAAAAGAATCTAACTCAAAAGCGTCAAAATACCGAAAACCCGTTCTTGTTTCACAACCGCACACATTTAAGTGAAACCTAATCCCTTCCGCCTTGACCGCAGCAAATAAACCCCGAATAATGACGTTAGTCGAGCAGTGTATACTTTTCAGTCAAATAGTCACAGGCTTCCATGCTTTCGTTCACTTTTGAACCGTTGTTTTCCAGGGCTTTAATTGCATCCGCCTACATAATTATGTGCTCTTGATACTTGTTTCTCAAACGTACATTCGTATCTTGTCTTTCTCACATTAACAAAAGCCTTTGGAAAGATAACCAGGTGTATTTACTCACATTAAACCAAACAGGCTTGGTGAGTGAAACTTTATCAACAATGGATTTGCTGATTTATTACAAACTCAAGTGTGCTTGAGATACCATACCGACGAGGTGCTGGGTTCCCTCTGGGGAACCTTGTTCCACAAGTAGATTAGACTATCCCGGACAGTAAAAGGAGGAGATGGGTTCGAAAATCCGTGGTACTACCTACAAACAATTAGGCAAATGGACCTGACAAAACTCCGCTTGTGGGATCAACAACAAGCACACATGTGTGTAACTTAAGCGCGGAACACACTGTTGCTGACCGCACACAAAACATTGGCAAGCGGCATGGAGGTTCGTAAGTGTGGTTTGGCAGCCTTTTTATCTGAGGTCGATTTCACTATTCTGATTGGTGGCACATCTACCCGGATTTCATAGTGGGACATGTAAGAACACGTCCATGAGGCGGAGGACGAACGCAAATTGGCAAGAAGATACACTGGCATACACGGGCATACATATATGCATACAAACTGCTTAATTTAGGGCACAATGGTCGGTGTGTCTTGGTCAGAGGCCGTTGAAGCGGTCGTGACAGGCTAGGGAAAAGCAGTTAGAGTAGGCGAGTCAGAGTGCAGCTATTGTCAAACTGTCATATTATGTCCAATACATGTTGTTGCGACTCCCCTCCGTTTAAATTTCCACATCTCGCACTTCTACTAAATAACCTGCTCCAAAAGAAGGATATACCTGTCACTACGTCTCTGACGATAATCGGATGCTGACTAGAAAGCCAATTCTGTAAGGCACTGACAAATAATCACAGAGACAGAGAGCTCTCTGTTGCCCTTGATTTTGCGCTACCTTTACGACTTACTACATCTGTTACACTTGAATCTCAGTAACTGAAGTGGAAGGTCTTATCACACACTCCAACTAGCTGGCTCTCTGTAAAAAGAATGACTTTCGCGAAATGCTAAATGCTCTATGGCTGTTGACCAAACAAACAGGCTCCTGCGTCCATCTGAACATAAGAAATTGATTTTAGAATGTTTTACAGTTCACATATTAGTAGCACATAGCGAAACGATCGTGGCCCGTTAGCCTAACTGTGGAACCAGCAAGTCTGGCCACGATCCTAAACGTGAATGTAAGCCACAATAAATAGCGCACACGACCAACGTAGTCCCAGATACACCACTTAATTTTGCATGGCTTCTGTACCTGCCAACCATGCTAAGAATCTGATGGTGAGTGAACTTGCATAGCGAAACGCGAGTGGCATTTCCTTAGTGAATCTGTCCAACGAAGGTATTGGACAATTTTTGCTCCATGAAGGAACACCATTGGCACTTACCAGATGTGTTCGCTCTTCAGGGTACAGAAGCGCAATCCTGCTGTGACATACTAAAACTAGAAACCATGGTCGTTCCTAGGGGAGATTCATTTTTCCTCCTCAAGACCCTGGGCTGACGAAGGTGCATTGAAATCGTCGTATTCACCAGACTCTGGGTCGTTGAAACCTTCCGTATCTGAGGAGTATCAGTGACTTTCTCACTCCCGTTTATGGTTTGAACTCCTCAAGTTAGATTCACTTCGAGCTTTTAAGTCCCTTCAAGTCTGTTTCTTTTTAGCATGTACGCATTTCCCATACTGTATCCTACGAAATTCTTCATCTGTGTCAAGGCATTCTAGTTACCCCCACGTGTGTGTTATGGTGCCTCAGCTCATCGCCATAATCAGTAACAGATAACACAGCAGTGAAAACCAATGCCGCACAGTCTATTTTTAGAATGTTCATGCGTCACTATGTATCTAAACCGATCCAGCAGTTACTTCCTATGCCAAACTTTGTAAACTAGCATCTATATTCTCTGTAGTACAGCACTTTGTGCGTGGCATTTTGAATATAAGTTTTGTATGGATCTACCTAATCTGTGTTTCTCGTCGCAAGGTTATAGGATCGTCTACTCCATTAAAATGGTGCATACACATGAAGATCCAAAACTTTTAATCTGGTAGTCCTCTCCCCTATGAACCAAGGGAAATTCTGACGAAAATGGTGGTAATCTAATATTTGGATGCATAAACTAACCTTTCGAACCAAACATAAAGGATATCTTGATGCGTTGTTCATATAGCTAAGCGTTTCAACCCAGTCAGATTCCCACTTTCTTTCATTGCGTGGTTTGGTCCTTTCCTTCAACCGTCTTTTAAACTCTGCATTTTCAACCCTAAGACGTTCAACTTCCTGTCGTTTCTTTGGTGCGTTGAGACTAAAACAAGAAGTTAAAATATGAAATGGCCCTTACCTTTTGATTTTGTATTCATTATGATTGTCGACCTTTCCAGGATGAGTGTAAATATATCCTAACCGCTGCCTCAAGCGCTTATTGTCCGATTCGATTCGAGCTGAATTCTGTTTATCAAACTATGGCCATAAGTTCCCTTTAAATTGTGGATCATACTGATGATACTTCCATCTCCTTCCTTATCAGCTGAAACGTCTTTGGAGCCTTTGTGTCCACGACAGGTTTCATGTTTTCCAGCTGGAGTGTAGTTTAGAAAGCGTGAAAAGCTTTCGTCTGACAGTGAACCTAACCGATAGAATTGACAAGATCCTCTGAGTGCACCACCAATAGTACTGAAAACGGATTAGGTCATGGGCACAAGATTTGAGGATCTGTATCACATCATTCTGAATGCTCCAAACCAGATAACCAAAGATGATATCAAGGGGACAAACTGAAAGTGCATAATTTTACATTTAACGGATAGATACTGAAAGCTTAAAGCATTATACGTAAGGAGTTTAACTTTGTAACATAAACAAACGGGTGTTGTAAGTGTGGATATTAAATCTGATTGGAACAGCAATGTTACTAGGACGCCAGTCTAATCAGCTCTATGATACATTAAGTTCTCATTGATGATTTCCCCGTGAGAACAAGTGGTTCATATGTGATTTTTTTCTTTGAAAGATTGCAGGGGCTTGTGAATAGTTATAATAAACTAACTGACTTGACGGACAAAGCGTTTTGCCTTTTTACCAAAGGCGAAAATCCTTTCAGACCTTAAGACCAGTGAGCCGTTTATGGAAAAAAGGAAGAGGTGGCAGAATCGTCTTTTTAGTATCGACTTGATTAGCCTACGACTCTGCTTTCCGACAAGGAATGCCAACAAATGTTCTAAAATGACAATTTCACTGGTTAAATTTACGGCACAGTGGTGTGTAAAACTGCCTCCAGTGCATTCCTCCTCCCGTGAACCCCCCGTTGTGGCAATCGAATTGAATTTGAAACCGGTTTGAGCCTGCTTTGGTCCGTGGGAAGTAGTCCTGCTCATCTACGGACCTATCACCTTGTTTCTAAGAAGGCGGCGCCGGTACGGCCTCGTGTACATTGAAAAAATTTTATTACACTTGCAATCAAAAAATCAGGCCAGATTGCTGGATTTTAATGCGAAACAAAATCGCGAGGACTGCCTTTTTTTGATTCGATGCCTCAAAGATGCGGTGACATGTGAATCTTAACTTTATTTGATGTTGCTTTGACCTTCTTGTTGATGCTGATGGGAGTTTTAGCGAAGTTCTTTTCGGAAGTTAGTCAAATTTCAACCAATGATCTGTTAAGGTGGTCCATCAACTCAGATTTGTTTCAGTTCTACCATAGAGAATACTTCATGTTCTTGCGTGTTCTTCCTTTGACCTACAGACCCGACCAATTACGCCAGTCCCTGTACAACGAAGACATGCTTTGTTCTGAATGCTGATGTTGGTTACAGCGAAAGTTACGCAGGCACGTTTCGTGCTGCGTTTACTTGTCTTAACATCACAATGTGCCACTTATAATGTAGAAATATTTACAACCTACGCAAATTCTGAAATAGTTTTTTTTGCGAATATTCAGTAGGTTCGTTGAAAATTTCGGTATTCCATGAACCAGTAATTCTTTGACTCGGTTTAACATTAAATATTGCTTTACTGAAAGAGCCCATGAGTACCCACCAAGTTATTTATGGCTAACTCGGTCGCCTTGCTCTGTTGTGTATGTTAGACCTATTTTGGTGTACATAACAGAAGGGCTCAATATCTGTATCAACGCTTTAGATATTCTCAACTGTTTATTTCACTTGTGTGGATGATACAGAACTGTCCTTTTTGTTTGTAGATAGGATTGGGGTGCCGTACATTTAGTGCAGGCTGATCACCCCACTGATCGTAGCACGCGGATTTAGCTTTAAACTAGCCAAAAGGCTATGAGTTTGAATCTCCCCGGATATTCATCATAGTAAGTTGATTAACAAGAATAAAACAACAGACTTTTCGGACTACCAAACAATGCCTCGTTACAGGGAGCTTCGTTACTATAGCCTTGTAAATGGACGTAACTGTGATGAATTTATTGGTCATATGTTTATCATGAACTAGTTTTGTGATATGCGCCCCGTGGGACAACTAAGTCGCCCATTTGGCGCATATTAATTGGGTTCCAGTTATATATCATCATCATCATCATCATCATCATCATCATCATCATCATCATCATCATCATCATCAACAGCATGACATCAGTGTTCAACACCGATGCTTCACTGCCGTACAACCATGACTTATTTGAAAGCCTTATTGTAAAGAAAAGAATAAAGGTGGATGGGGGAGGGACTTAGTGCTAGCTTAACACAATCATTCCGAGGTGCCTACACCTCCAGACATTCACTCAGGCGATCTGGATAGAAACTGACAACAAGAACGCCACTGACATCAGTTGGCAGCCATATCTTCTAGTATCTCCAACCAGGCACAGTGAGGATCACGCGGTCCCCATCTTTGAAGGTGAGTAGCACCGACAGCATCTAAGCGCCCTATTTCATACTCCTCTGCCAAGTCAAGGGTTGGCCACCTCTCTGTTTACGCCACTCCGAATTGGGCATGGAAAACAGTACTCTCTTCGGCAAACGATGGTTCGGCATACGCAACACGTCTCAACCAACGCAGCTTCTGGCGCTGGACACATTTTTCAATGGAAGTACCCGCTGCACAACCAAAAACGCGCTTTCTACCTACCTGAGACCGATTCTCACGTTGTCCCACAAAGCTCACCAATGGACTCAGAAGAAACCGAAAGATTACTGAAATTCGGGTTCCACAAATCAATACTTTTTGATCGAAATAGACAAACGTCAGCACAGCATACCATAGCGAGCTGTCTTACCTCCGAAGACAGCGAAACAAGGCGCTGACCACCGAATTTAACTTCTGAGATACCACAGAAAATTATGACATCCGTATAACCGAGACGGGATTATTAAATCTAGCCAAGGTGAGGAACTCGCCACACTTTTAGTGTTTTACACTACCGCTACAAATCAAACTGGAGTTGTATTTATTCAGGTGTGATGTACCGTAAAATGGATAAAAGTGTACGGGGTGTGAATCAGCCTGATCAGCTAGCTGGGGCCAGTAAAGCAATTGGCTTAAAAAAATTCAAAAATGACAAAGCCACTAGAAGTAATGAATCGAAGTTTACTGGTCTTCGGGAGGTAATAAAGCCCCGTTAGTTTTTGCCTATTTTATTCATTAGAAAAGGTGGCACTCTGGGTCCCTAATGTTGTTGTCGCTATGGCTTGGTTGAGAAAAAGTTGCATACTTGTTGGCCACCCGTTAGTTATTTGGGTCAATAAAATTAGCTACACTGAAGGCTGGCATATGATGGGCTCTTCTGCCATATGGCTCTTCAGATGCCTGCCGCGTCTAACATGTAGAAATTATATATCATTTTGACTTCTCCATATTTGTTTTTGTCACGGTTTAACTGTAAGCTTATCCACTGATTGTAACAGACTGAAAGTAAGGTTCATTATCATCTTCAATGCTGACAACGCCAGGTGTGAACACGGGTTTTTTGTAGAGATTTTGTCCAGTAATTGAAGCCAACCTATGCTGAAAACCCGAGAAGCACTGTACAGCTTGGGAATCATCAGCAAAACGGAATCTTCACAAAAAACTCAAATCTCTTCACATTATGAAGGAGAATACAGGCGTTTCACTGCCGTAGCTCCATATCAGTAATACCTTGCAAGCGAAAGAACAAAGAGAATGAGGCAGGTTGGGCTACTTAGAGATAGTTTACCACGAACAACGGAGGTGTCCACATTTACAACTTGTAGTTTGGTTGGAAACTGACAGCATCGACGCCACTAACGTCTGTTAGCCGGGCGGATACTCAAAATGAGGCGATATGACTGGTGAAAGGACCGCCTTGCCAACTATATGGTCGCCCTGCTTCGCAGAGTTATGTAAACACTAATCTTGCTAACTGGGAACAGCGAAAAAATTGTTTCAATATTTGAATAAACTTGCAGCATTCAAGCATGGGGATTAAGCTTGTTGTCCATAATTGCATCGTGCATCATGCACCCACCTTAGCAGAACAGGGAAGATAAACTATACTTGTTGGACACAGTAAACATCATGACATCCTTATCAGAGAAATATCCTGCATATCTATGCCGCATCAAGATCTTCGTCTTCAGGTCCATAATTGAGTTAGTTCAGTTTTAACGATTTGCACAAAACGAAAAATTCCTCTCTAGTTTCCACGCGCCTCTTCACATTTATCTATCAGATTTACCTATCAAATGCACGAAGTGCTGTATAGTTCTGAGCGTCCGAGTTCTATCGTTGATACTGAATAAAATTAACATAGCACTTCCTAAGACACCGAACGACGCCTCGGTAATCTGGAGTCGAAACCCTAAACTTTCTTCAACAGAAGTTGAAGGCAGATGGATGTTTTAGTCCTGATTATTTCACTGAGGTTTTAGAATGTTCTTCTATCAGAATTTTGCCGAAGTACATGACGTTCTTTCTCTATTCGACTTGACTTCAAAGAGGAGAATAGGAAAGCCCAACTATCCCATTGCTTCATTTTCTGATTTATCTGTAAAGAACCATTCTTTATGCGTAGCCGAATAACAGCTCTTGGGACCATTTACTGCAGCTCACTTCAACTCGATTATCCATGGTATCACATTGCTTACATGCGTGAACACTTTTGCCTGTTCAGAACCACCCGGTTGGAGTAATTGTGGCAAGATCAGATATTCGGACTTTATATCCTGATATGGCGAAGCATAAGTGACTCTGATGAGCTCTAATAAGAGCTGCGCTCTAGTCTACTTCTGCCCTTCCTTGTTGTGGACTCACAAAATAGCAGAGTTAGAACAAAAGGAGAACTACCCAAACGACAGTGTCGTGAATGTAACTTCCACGAAAGTCAGAATGGCTCCCGTAAGGTTAATATCTGTGTGCTTACCAAAATTTTAACGCTTTCAAAGGGATTTTTGTTGAAAAATATACATGGAGACTTTCTAATACGACGAAACTTTGAAATGAGCAAAGTGTGTCTCAGCTTAGTGTAATGAAAACACCTCGCCGATTTTCAGAGCCGTCAAGACACTGGAATGTGCAAGATAATTTTTAAAAAAGTGACACGGATTTAGAAAGCACTATCTGCAACCAGCGGTCAATCAGCCTTCTGCACACCAT